AATGGAATGATAAATCACAAGTACAAACTCATCATATTTTTTGCATTTTAGATAGGATTTATTCAGCAAAATTTAAGGGTGACGTCATCAATTTTTTTAGGAGGGATGAACAAATACATTTTGAACAAAAGTTTACCATGCTTATAATAACTTTAAAATATTCCCAAGATTTGAAAGCATTCGGTTTTGTAATTCCTGATTAAATCGATAAAATAAATTCACGCCTTCATTAATTTTTTTGAGTCACCCTGCATATGCAAATCCAAAAATATGAATGGAATGATAAATCACAAGTACAGACTCATCATATTTTGTACATTTTATTCGGCAAACTTTTGAGCTGACGTCATCAGTTTTTTGTAGAAGATAACCAAATATATTTTGACTAAAAATTTATTATGCTCTTTATAACCTTAAAATATCTGCAAGATGTCAGAGCATTCCGTTTTGTAGTTCCTGATTAAATCAATAAAATATATTTACGCATTCATTAATTTTTTTGAGTCACTCTGTATATGCAAATCCAAAAAATGTGAATGGAGTGATAAATGACAAGTACAGACTCATCATATTTTGTACATTTTAGATATGATTTATTCGGCAAACTTTCGAGCTGACGTCATCAAGTTTTTGGAGGGGATAAGCAAATATATTTTGACTAAACATTTATTATGCTCTTTATGACCTTAAAACATCTGCAAGATTTCAGAGCATTCGGTTTTGTAGTTTCTGATTAAATCAATAAAATATATTTACGCATTCATTAATTTTTTTGAGTCACCCTGTATATGCAAATCCAAAAAATATGAATGGAGTGATAAATTACAAGTACAGACTCATCATATTTTTACAGTTTAGATAGGATTTATTCGGCAAACTTTCGAGCTGACGTCATCAATTTTTTGGAGGGGATAAGCAAATATATTTTGACTAAACATTTATTATGCTCTTTATGACCTTAAAACATCTGCAAGATTTCAGAGCATTCGGTTTTGTAGTTTCTGATTAAATCAATAAAATATATTTACGCATTCATTAATTTTTTTGAGTCACCCTGTATATGCAAATCCAAAAAATATGAATGGGGTGATAGATCACAAGTGCAGACTCATCATATTTTGTACATTTTAGATATGATTTATTCCACAAACTTTTGAGCTGACGTCATCAAGTTTTTGGAGGGGATAAGCAAATATTTTTTGACTAAAGATTTATGATGCTCTTTATAGCCTTAAAACATCTGCAACATTTCAAAGCATTCTGGTTAGCAGATTAAAAATTAAATTTCAAAATGTTGTTTTATAATTTTGATTTTTTTTCCAAAAATCTGGACGTTTCGGGTAAAAACTGAATTCGGAGTCGTAAACTACATGTGTAGGACTATGTTATTTTATACAATTGAAAACCCATTTACTATGTACAATTTTGAAGTGACGTCATCGCATTAGTGGTGGGGATGATTAGACAAATTTTGGTTAGCGTTTTACCATCTACATGATATTCTTAATATAAGTACAAAATTTCACAACAATCGGTCGAGTACTTTCGGAGATTATCTGTCTAATAAAAATCCGGGACGGCAGACGGACAGACGGACAGACGGACGGACAGACGGACAGACGGACAGACAGACGGAAATGGGAGACCTATTTCTTCGTCTTCTAGGGGTCATGAAAGATCGAGAAAACGTAAAAGTAGAGACTCGGCCGACGGACTCGATTACAATACTTCCTTTGCTTACGCTCGGGAAGTAAAAATTAAAAGTCGAAAAATTTTAAAATTTGAAAAATTAAAATATGTACATAGCCACTAAAAAATTTAAAGATCGGGAATTCGAAACATCAAGAAATCGTAAATTCAAAAAATGGAAAAATCGTGAGTATAAAATTTCTTTATTATTTATTTATTTATTCCTGGAAAGAATTTGACAGTACTTGGAGCCTCTAGTGTCTTTTTTATAATAATTTAATTAAATTTCTTAGAGAGTCATTCTGCAAAATCAGTCCTAACAGGTATTAACCCCACCCACCCGCCCTCTTTTTTCTTAGAGGGTATATAATTTGCCAAAATCAGTCTTATCTTGGCAGTTACTAGCCCCGCCCACCCACCCTCTCTTTTCTTAGAGGGTATATTATTTGCCAAAATCGATTTTGTCTTGGCAGTTACTACTACTACTGGTTGTTATGGTTATTGTCCTAAAAAAAAAAAATAAAAAGTCGATTTACTAAGAAATCAGAAAGCAAGACGGAAGTATTCACGTATTACTGAAAATTTAATCGGCCATTTTCCAGACACCCGGTATAAAGACGTACGTATTCGTTGCATTTTCGAAACAATGGAGTGAGTCCTTGTTAATTTTACCAAAAAAAAAGCAACATGTATAATTCCAGTCACAGCGTTATACCTATGCAAGGAAAAAAAGGTAAGGCCAAGTTCGGCGTCGAACCCACAGTCGCAGTACCGCAAGGTCGCCGTTCTCTCCGATACACACACTGGACCACGAAGACGTACAAACCATGTTGGGAATAAAACGTTATTATATAGTTTCCGCAGTTCGAATTCGGTTTTATGATAGTATCCCATTGTGTAAAAGTTAACTTCCTTAACAATAGATTACTACTGTCTATGATGTGACAGTCATAAATAAGAATTTAATCATTATACAGTATAATTTTAACGACATGGTTAAATCCTTTATTTATGACTGTCCCATCACCGGCAGTAGTAACCTGTTGTTAAGGAAATTAACTTTTACACATCATAAAACCCAATTAGAACTGGGGAAACTATACCTTGTAAAACTGAAAGTAAATTCGTACACTACAACTATATGATTATATTTTGGTGTAACATTCAAATCATTTTAAAATACCATTCATTAAAATGACGTGATCATGTTGGTGTGGATGATTAGCCAAATTTTGGTTTGGCTTTTAACCATCTACATGATATTTCTAATATACATACAAAATTTGACAATTGGTCCAGCAGTTTCGGAGATTATGTATCTAATTAAAGTGGATACAGACACCAGACAACCAGACAGACAGACAGACAGGCAGACAGACAGACGAAAACGGGAGACTGGTTTGTTCGTACTGTAGGGCTCATGAAACGTCGAGAAGGCCCTACTATAATACTTTTTTAGCTTATGCTCGGTAACTCGGTAACTAAAAAGAAATGTTGGTTGAAGCGATATATACTTAACAATCTTTTGTGAGGTTATTGTTTTTTTTTGTCTAGACAAATTAATGAATTCGGATATCTTTGATAGGCAAAACTAAAAATAGCATTCATTAAATTCAAGAAATAGAAGGAAGTCATGTTTAAAATCATTTGTAACGTATTTTTTTGGACATAGACCTATCAATTTCTAGTAAACAAAATAAAGATTGAATATGATATGTCAGATACACGAATAAAGTACAGAATCTTAGGGCATATTTAATTTTTATTTAATTTAAAGTACACACACTAGCTACAATATAATGAGTGCGTGGAAAAGATTTAATTTTATATCAATTATAAAAGTACTTGCCTTGAGATAAGTATATTTGGGTATAATTCCAAAGGTAACAGCAATAACTATTGATCAACCCTGTGATATATTCTGTACAAGTTTCAATTTTTTTTCTTACATAAAACTCGTTTAGTTCTACGGTATGTTTTATTTATTACTTTGGTAATAATAAATTAGATATTAGTTGACATCATCAATAAAACATATCAAAAACTGACGACTCGACGCTTGACAGATCAGTATACAATTTCGCGTAATTTGCTTAACGAAAATTATACCTTGTATCACTAGCAGAGAGCACAGGAAACGGATCCGTGTAACGAATGTGGGTATTCATGGAGAATGGAGAATGTGAAAGAATTACTTTCCCGCTTAGGTCGCTGTTGTCTGAATAAAACACCAACAGTTTGTCTCAGTTAATTAAAACTAAACTGATCGTTAATGGTCTAGTCTTCACTCTCAATCAAAATCTTCATATTATCCGCATCTGAACTTCTAATAATGTGTTCATTTTCCACATAAATATTAAAATGGATCATTAATTTAGACTATAAGAAACGTAACTCTTAAAATTCACCCTTGGGATGCGCCATAATATCTTAGGTATTTGGAAAAAATAATTAACTAGTAAGTGAGCATTCGACTGATACAATACTCATTTACATAATGTCGTATAATTTCAATTCGAAAATAGTATTGTTAAGTCTAATCTATGAAACCTAAAAGATCATTGCCAAACTGCTGATTTAAATCCTCCAATACCTCCTTTATGCGGCGAAAAAAGAATAATCGTTCCGTATTTATATTTTTTGCAAAGTGCGCCGCCAACAAAATTGATAAACGGCCGGCAATTAAGTGGAAAAATTCAAGCCGGGCGACCGCATCGTTTTATATCCTGATATTGATGCATAAAAAATAAGGAGATCGCCCCGTACTAATCCCGGTTATTGCCTAATTTAAATCGGGCCCGGGAAAAGCGGGCGTATAAATTATTGAAATTATTATATTAAAAAATCCATCTAAGAAGTCAAAGAAGCTATTATCCACGACCGTTTTGCCGTTAACTAAGAGCTATTTTTCCACGGCCCGAGGCTTTTTCGGTCTCGTAAAAATAGATTTAAAATTAACGAACGACTTACACTCCCCCTGGAAAAACGACTCGCTGTGTATCGGCAAGGACATTGTGGAAATTTCGAACGTAATGGAACTTTGCTACTGCATTTAAGAGGAAATATATACATACAACGCGATACTGTGACGTAACACCGAATGAAATGCTGAGTCGCTAAAGTTTCACCTGCTCTCAGCCTGGTTTTACACCTTAATAACATTAATTAATCTCATGAGTTTTGCAATTTTTGATGAATACCATACTATAGCTATAAAAATAATAATTAATACTTTACTATATCGTCAACGGTTTCAAAATACAGTTAAAAAGAAAACTTATATTAGTAAGCTAACAATATTGTTGTTTCAGAACTTGCTGCCGCTGCTGCCCGTCCTTTTCCAGCCGGAATTTTTGGTGGCCAACGACACCGGCACGCTTCTGATAGTGGCGGGATCTTCCGGTATTCTGGTTATGGAGCTTCCTGCGCGTTATCCTCCTTACGGCGCCTTCGAGAACAACAAAGACGTAGTTTACTGCAAGTAAGTAGCACTTGCCAACAATTTCGGAAATCGATGGAAAGAAGAAAACGCCAAACCAAAACGCAATCTTTTTTAATCAGTTTACTTGAGCATAATCGCGAAATCTGGCCGGAATTGAAGCGAACAGAACCGGCGCGGAAGGAACGAACGGCTCTTACACACCATTAAACAGACCACCACTATATTTCTAATTACTTTCCGGAGGATTTTTTAATTTTTTATCGTCGGTCTGGGTTAGTTCCACTATAGAAATCTGAATATCATGCGATCGGGATAATTGAAGCCGTGTCGTGTGAAGTCAAGCCGTATAACCGTGCCAAAATCATGGCGTAATGTGTACTTTACTGTATGACAGTTAATTTAATTTTTAACGCTACCTCTATTCTTTTAATGATTCATAGGTGGCTCAATTGAAAAAGTGCCAATTTATCAAATCTGGTACAGTACAACGAAGTTCGACCGCTTCTTATTCACAAAAATTATAACTAGTGATTCAATAAAATTTGTATTATTTTTGTAACATCGTAATAGGGCCCATTTCACGAATCATTGATTCGATGATTTCTCGACCTCTCATACCTCCTAGAATATGAAAAAGTGTCTTGCCTGTTTCCGTCTGTATATCGTCGGTTGTGGATTTTATTGGACAAATAACTTCCGAGAGTACTGAACTGATCGTGATGAAATTTTATATATTTTAAAAATGTCATATAGATAGTAAAGTTCTGACTAATTTTGATTCTATCGTCTCAAAATTTTGATAAGCAAATCCTATTTAAAATGTGCAACATGAGGTATTTGGTGTATGATTTAATATACCCACCTTTTTTACCTTGCGCCTGTAAGTTTTTCAAAAAAAAAAAATCTGAATTGTGCAGCAATATATTACGATTTAACTTAGCAACAACCAACTCGATTGCTCTAAAATATTACACATACTTTAAGGTTATCATGAACGTGATAAATGGTTGTCATTCATTTGTTGATCCCTTCCAAAAACTTGATGACGTCATCTTAAAATTCTGTTAGTAAATTTGACTTGAAATTTATAGTGTGACACTCCTTTATTCGCGTATTCAAATTTTAAACGACAGAAACACCGCTCATTGTTAAAAAATGAGATTTATAACAGCAAATTTTACAGTTTGTACGCAATATAGAAAGGCACTTTTTTGAAATTTGCGGAAAATTGATTTATTAAGTACAGAACAACAAACAAAATTTATTTAATCATGTCTCTTATAAATTGAGGTAATGAAGTCTTCGGAAAAGTCTATGGTGGTCGTATCCGAACTGCGGTGCAAATTTTGCTTAAATATCAGGTACGTGGATACTTCTGACCGAATTGTGGTTGGCTCTCGAACTGTAAGAGTTTAAGGGGTTCTGACATTGCTCTTAAAGCGATTGAATGAATTGAAGAAGTGTAGAAACATCATTTAATGCTTTAAATTTAAATACTTTTTAGACTCAAACAATAAAGTGAATTTTTTACATAAAAACGAAAAACGATATATAGAAAAAAATGTGTTTTATTAAACGATTTCAGAAATTATATTTTTCGGAATTATACATTCAGTAATAATAACACCTTCCATCGATACAATTTATTAATATGTATGTATGTGATCAGCGATTTGTTTTTCGTAAACAACAGAATGGAAATGTAATCAAAGTCGATTTGTTGACAACAAATTTACTTACTAAAGTTATTTACTGAATTTGCGTAATGTTTTTGATTCATAATTTTGAGTATTAAATAACTGTATCCATCATTTAGGTACCTAGTTAAAGCGAGACAGCTAAAAATTTTACCGCAGTTCGGTTGCGGATTAAAAATGCACCACAATTCGAACAGGCCAGCGTATGGTATGCAGGTGTTTCATGAACAATATGTTTCGACTTGCAACGTTATATGTAATATAATTTTTTATAACTGTTTATACAGGGTATTTAAAAAATGAGCAAATTCTTGAAACAGCAGTGTTTTATTTATTGGAATAGACGTTATTATAAATAAATAAAAACAATTGGAACTTCAGATGTTGTAGTTTATCTAAGAAACTGTACTTGAATTGGTTGTGCTTCAGGGGCGTAGAGAGTTCTTAACTTTAGTGGTCCCTCGTTTCCGTCTGTCCATCTGTCTCTCTGTCTGTCTGATGTGTGTATGCTTTTTGATTAGGCACGTATTCTTCGAAACTACCGGACCAATTGTTGTCAGATTTTGTATGTATATTATGAATATCATGTAGATGGTTAAACGCTTGCTAAAATTTGTCAAATCAACCCTATCAATAATGTGATGACGTCACCTTAAAATTGTATATAGTAACTGTGTTTTAATTTGTATTAAATAACGTATTCCTACACGTGTAGTTTATGAATCCGTGCTGAGTTTTTACCCAAAACGTCCTGATTTAAAAAAAAAACTTCAAAACTGTATAATATTTTCCAATTTAACTTTGAAACCGCAAAACCGAATATTCTGAAGTTTTGTAAATATTTTAAGATTGTCGTAATCATTGTAAATCGTTAAGTCAAATTTATTCCTTTATGTGCTTCCAAAAAACTAATGACTTCATCTCAAAATGTTGCCGAATAAATCCTCTCTGAAATATGCAAAATATTATAAGTGTATACTTGTAGTTTATCAACGCGCTCATCTTTTTTAGAATTACTTCTACAGGGTGACTCAAAAAATTCATGAAAAAAATTTTGCCGAATAAATCCTACCCACAATGTGCAAAATATGATGAAATTGCTTATACAGTGTAATTCATAAAAATTAATGAATTAATCAATTTATTTTATTGATTAAGTCGGGAACGGCTCAATTCACTTTCCTGGAAATTTGGGAATACTATAATGCTATCATTAGTATTACACTGTACCTATCCTAAGAGATATTTTTATAATTTTTCGAAAAAGCTGAATTTATTTTATTGTACTTCAGGGGCGCTGTAAATTCTGTCGAAATCACTAACCTTACCTTACCCTACAAATAACATCTCAAAGCATATTATTCTTTGAATATTTAACCTTTTTCTGCAATGACATCATTAATTTTCTGGTGAAGATGAAAATTTTTAATTAATGTTCTGGAAACTAATTTCTGCACACTATGATGCATGATGAGATGCGAGTTAGTTAACAATATTTTGAGACTATAGAGTTTTTAAAGGAAAAGGAGAAAAAGGTGAGTAGACAAATTTGGAATACAGTAATTTGTAATATACACTACAATTTTAATATTCAAAGTAATCGGTTCGGCAGTTTTGAAAATTTTCTATTTTAGCTTGGTCAAATATAATTGATTCCTTATTTTTATTTATCTCGAAAAAGTCTTATTAAATATTGCAAAATTTTGTTTATTTGATGGACTTCACTGTCTCTAAGAATAATTCACTTTAAAATAAAGTAAATCGACAACAAAAATGTATTAATAAATTATATTTTTTCCTGAAACCACCCTATTTGCTGGAAAAACTGCAATAAGAAATGTAACAAGGAAAGTACAAGGATTGATCAGTAATAACTTTAGACCCATTTTTTAAATCTTTCTATGATGTATAGTTACCACCCGTAACCTTTTTAAATTCAAAGACGTTTTACTCTTTTTTGCAAATTCAGTGAATGCAATTTTTCACTATTGAAAATACCTTTTGAATGGATATTTTTTGTAATAATGTGTGACAGTCAACTAATACAAAAATTTTTACAAAATCTACCCAAAGAGACATAAAAAATACGTTCAAAGACAGCCATGGATTTTTGAAGATTTGTCTTTGCTTGGAAACTCATCTTTTCAGATTACCGTCAAATGAAAGTTTGAGTTGAAAACGCAACGATCAAAAACAAACTTTCAAATGGCTAACTTGCAATGCCCTATTTTATATCCTATATTTATAATTAGAACACCGTCGTCCTCAATTCACGACGTGAATATAAGAAAGGACGAGAGCTTAACGTATGATGGCTAAAACATTTTTCTTTTGTTTTACTTAAGACTATATCAACCTAACTAAGAAGAAAGGACGCGCTTGTTTGAACTGCAGTGATCCACATTTGAACATTTGTTGTAGTTTTGATCTTTGTTCAACGTATCTTGCAACATAGACTAATTTTTTAATTGGGTACGTGATATGAACTTCTTAAACATATTTTGCTTACTGCGCACTTCCATTAATGAACTAAGTAAACTTGTTAAGTTAAAAGAGGTGAACTGTTGCTGGACGTTGCACTGCTCCTTCCGTTGTATTTATTTGTATGAGAAGCTATGTTATAGTAGCGATCTCATAAATATCGGCTAGGGTTTTTGGGATTTTTCGGAAGTAATTAGGCAAGGTGTCTGTGAAGGGCTAAGCACCTTCTCATAAGCAGCCGCCGTACGAGAGAACTTCCAAACTGCAATTAGGAGCAAACGTTTAGTTACAATAAATTATAAAATATTTCTATACGGGGGAACTTTAAATAATGCCACTTTGGAAGCGCGGATAGGCCACGTAATGTATTCCCAACAAACTTCGCTAATATAACACCGGATTAACAGCAGTACCAAATATATACAGTGAAGCGACGAGCTTTAACAATTCTACTCATCTGCATAATAGTCATCATAAAACACACTCGACCATCGTCACCCTTTCGAAACGTTCGCGCCATCAATGACACCCCCTTTAATGAGCACACGTGAAAGCGGCATCAATAAAGAGTAAAGTTTGACGTCGCGCCGTTCGAAAGTTGAGGACCGCTGTTCCTCGAGAAACAATAAAGAGAGACACCTAATAATGTTAAAAAGGCCATAACGTACAGCTGTTATTATGTAAATAACGGTGCGTCGTCATATAATATGTCAAAGTTTTTGATTAGTTATCATTCGAGAACTGAGCGAGGCTTTTAAATTTATGGTAATTTCTATTTTAATTTTTTATGCCAACGACACCGGTTCCGTTCGGGAATTTAACTTTTTTTACGTGCTCGTTAATTTTTGACGGGCTCTCCTT